CTGGGCAACGTATACTCATGCGACAAAAAAGTCTATAAATCGTCAATCGACTTCTGACTCCAAACCATCATCACCCCACTGTATGCCATATTCAACCACTTCAATAGTATCAATCTTACCTGTTCTCCACCTTTATGTCTGTCTGTCTCTTTTACTTCTGTGAATCACTCTTCTTTTACCCCCATCGAATTTTATCACTTGGGGTGTGGGATAGACTTACCTCCACGTGGTGCACCCTGAGCAACGTATACTCATACGGCAAAAAAGTCTATTATTCGGCAGTTGACTTCTGACTTCAAGATACCATGGCACGACTGCTTGTTATATTCGACCCCTTTCACAGTAAAATGACCCGACTGTATGTCATATTCGACCCCTTCCACAGTTCTCATATTCTGTATGTCATATTCGACCACTTTCACAGTACTCATCTTTACTTTTTTCTACCTTTGTGTCTGTCTGTCTCTTTTACGTCTCTCTTTTCTCTGCCTTTGTGTCTGTCTGCCTCTTTTACATCTTTGAATCGCTCTTCTGTTCCCACCCCTCAACTTTCTGCTTCTTCGATGAACCTTCCCTCTGTGAAGCCCGAAGTCAATTAAAGGGCTAATGATAGCTATCTAAACGCCTGCCATTTGAAATAAATAAATAAAAAATAAATTTTATCACTTTGATGTTCCTCCTCTCTGTGAAGCCCGAGGTCAGCTAAATGGCTAATGATAGCTATCTAAACGCCTGCCATAAATAAATATTGGCGCACACCACACTCTCTTTTAAAGCACAGACTCCGTTTTCTATGTGAGATTTGAGATAGATTTGATTTTATTTCCTTGGATATGATTTCGTCCACACCGGTTCGCTCTTTTTTAAAAAAATCAGTAGGACATTTTAGCAAATAAATTTACTATTATTTCTTGAATTTAGAATATTTAGTGACCGTAAGTAATGGGAAATATTTTGTTAAGTTTGTTTAGATAAGTTGCTTGATAGGTGCTTACCTTTTTGTCTATATCACGAAGAGATCTTGATATCGTGTGTCTGTGATTGTCTTAACCTTACTTCTTTACTTGTGTTAGTTACGATGTTTTACTATTGATTTTTATGGGAATCTAACACGACGACCAAGGGTGGTAAGACTGAGACAGGCGCCAGTATGACCTCAAGGAATTTAGTGATCTCTCACGGTGCATATTTCCTTCGGTTAAAAATCACAGCCAATCAAATAAGTCAAAAATCTAAATCAGATTTCGCCATTGGTTTGCTATGATTGGTGCCACACAAAGCTATAAAGCGTCGAACTCAAGAAGAAGCTTGCACTATAGACAAAATCAAGTGATCCAGAAGGTCAGAAAATGCCCGAAATTCAGACTATGGATAGGATGTGCGCAGGTTCAAATCAGGTGTTTCAAGTCACACGTGCCTCCGAAAATCAGGAGGTGATTCACACAAACAATTCCACACCTTCAGCGCCTTTATCTGGCCGTCGACATGGAGATCGTCTCAGAAGACTCTTCAGGAGGAAGTGAATTGGTGGGATACATACAGACTGATTTGTATAACAATTTTTTCTTGAGTCTACTACTAGAATTTTTGTGGATTACACTGCTGGTGAAGGTTCTAAATACTGTAAATAAATTCTTGCAAATTTACGAATCGATTTTCCCATTTTCATTTTCCAAATAACGGCACCTTTGAACGAATAAATATTTCTCATTTCACTGATAAATGTAACTATTGCAACAATTATAATGTATATTGATTAAAAGTGTGCTTATCGCTTTGTGTTAATAATCCCTGTCATGCGATTCTTAAAGGTATCACATGTATAAAGACGTGTGATTGCATCAATTGTTGAGAGTGGTTTCATGACGCTAGGCAAGATAAAGCATTTTTACATTACCTTTAAAAATGGCGCCATTTCTATTTTCGCTTTCACTAAGCTTAGCAAAACTAATATTAATGACCAATGATTGGTATGTAATTAGAAAATGCCAATAAACATGGATTATATGGTAAGAGCCGAAACTGTTTTTTACCGGAAACCTCACAAATAAGCCTTGACTTAACCTCAGCAACACTTAGCGCATATTTATTAATTTATATCAAATTCAAGGCTTTATGATTTCTAAGAGTATTAATTTATATCAAATTCAAGGCTTTATGATAGTTATCATAAGCCCTTTAGTTGACTTCAGGCTTCACAGAGGGAGAGGTACATCAAAGCGAAAAAAATCGAGATGGGGTGGGAACAGAAGAGCGTTTCAAAGATGTAAAAGAGACAGAAACAAAGGTAGATGAAAGGCGAGGTGAGTACTGCGGAAGTGGTCGAATATGACATACAGTGGGGTCATGATAGTTTGAACTCAGAGGTCAACTGCCGGTTTATAGACCTGTTTGCCGTATAGGTATACGTTGCCCAGGGTGCGCCACGTAAAGGTAAGTCTATCGCACCCCCCCTCCCCTTGCGCATATTGTTCTTTAAAATATGGCAATACATGATCAGTAAATGCATACACTTGATGCAGCTTTGAATGGGTATTATTCATTTATTACCTTGGATGGATTCTATTCACACGAATGCGATTCATGGCACTTCCGAACTTACTATTAGCTTACTAGATTCCATCCGATTATCAATTCTTCAGTGGTAGTAGGTCAATTGCATACTTAGGTAATTAAATTGAAGCATTTCGGATTCATAAAATCAATCGTTATATGAAAGTTAATCATACTTTCGGGATGTAAACACAGTGCTACCCTTTTATGGATTTTTCATTAAAAATGACAAGAAAAGTGAAAAAAAATTATTATTTATAACAAATGACAGGCGTTTTGATAGTTATCATTAGCCCTTTATCTGACTTCGGGCTTCACAGAGGGGGATGGAACATCAAAGTGAATACCACCATCCTCAAGAGTGGCTGACTTCGAAACCGTGAAGATAACCCGCATTTTTCGAAAAAATTCTGCAACCCCCCCCCTTCCCCCTACTTATACCAAATTATTAGTTTCTGCAGTACCAACGAGTAGCCTATTGTGGGCAAAAGGAGGAGCGTAAGTCTTGAATGGTCACTTTTTCATTTTTCCTGAACAACACGTGTGCGGAAAAGTAGTAAGAAGTTAACTTTGGAAATTAAACCTCCATTTTAATAAAATTCGACAAAGTCTTCATTCTTTAGAAGGAAGAGAGAATTTTATTCAAATGTTCCGATTGAGGAAATTAATTCTCCAACTGTTATTTTCAAAAGGGGATTCAGACAAAATATTGAAAAAGAATTGCATGCTGTCATTGCGGAATTGTGCTAGGTATTTCCTTCAGCACATGATGTCTGTACCTTATAATTCCAAACAAAAATTTCATGTTTCATTTTCACTTCAACCAATTACATATTTTAATATTTTTTATATGCTTCTATTGTCTAAACAATTTGCCATCACAACACCTTGTTACATGAAACAAAGGACCGATTTAAACCAGTCTTTTCGCCATAGCAACCACTACATGGCACTCTAAAATGTTAGCCTCTCTTGCCACTTGTAAGAGGCAGAAATGCTGGGTGCCAGTAACAACTATGATTACGGGTTTGAGGCCACTTTATCGATAGGAGTTCATGATGCTGAGGGAAAGCCTGTTGACAAAATTTTTGAAGATAATTATTCCCGTGATATCACTAGATGTTGTCAAAAGACCATCAAAATTTTGACATCTTCGGTGGGTATTCTAATCCTTCTATGTCTTTACCTCCTTGCCGGAGCCTGGGTATTCCAATACCTTGAACGAGGAAATGAACTGGAGGCTTGCTATGCCACCTATGCTAGATATCGTGATAAATTGAACACATCGGTGATACGAGCTACTGGAATTGTGGATTCGGGATTGTCAAAAGAAGTTGTGGCTAGTCAGCTAGAGAGTGCATTGATTGATTTCGCGGAAACCTTGTTTGCACTTGACTTTCCTCCCAGTAGAAATTGTACTAAGATTACCGAACCACTAGGATCAAAATGGAATTGGGTCAGTGCTTTGTATTTCTGCGCTACGGTTGTCACTACAATTGGTGAGCTAGCCAAAATCAAACATAATTAAATGAATTTTGTTTCATCATTTTAATCTTATTTGTTATTTTAAATTCCACATTCTTTGTTAACTAAATTTATTCAGTGACGAGGATAAATAAATTAGTAATAGCATAATTTTATATTTTGAGCATTATCATTTGATCTAATATTGATTCATTTTTTAATAATTGGTAGTAGCTGTAATAACAAAAGCTAACTAATAAATTATACTCATTGCAAAAATTTTAAATTTATAAACCAAAAAGAACGAATTTAATTAATGAAACCGTTCGATCCTACGTATTTATGTTAATTTTGCCTTTTTATAATAGCAATCAAGTATTTCACGGCGAAAACGTGCATGCTAATTATTTTCCTTTACAAATAGTAATTCCAAAGCGTTCACAAGAGGTGTCAAACCATTTTAGGTACTTACTAGTCATGATGCTCGTCTAGCTCTGTAATACTTTTCATTTTTTCGTATGAAAATTATGACTGCCACAAAATGCCCAAGAATTGTTTTAAACCTTCAATTAAGTTGGAAGTAGGATAAACTACGATTCTGTGTCAACGATATTGAAACCGAATTAAAATCAACCATTGGTTGAAGAAATTAATAAGAGCAAATCCTATTTAATTTAGTTAGTACATTTATATTCGATGTGCTTGGATTCTATTGGAAGAATTTTGAAACTGTATACACAAAAATCACACAGTCTTTAATTTAAATACTTCCGATATCTGATTAACTTAAATTCGCATGTATATTTTTAAACAATATCCGGAATCCAGAATACATGTAGTGGTTTAGTTATCGACACATTTTTCACTTCCATCTGAGTGTCAACTTTCCAGAAGGCAACTTTAAATTTTAATAAACTAATAAGTGTATAGTTACGGTGGCATTTCAAATGTGCTTAGGCGATATTTGTTTATCTGCGATTCAGCCAGATTAAACAACTACCTAGCATCTAATTGATTCAAGATAATAGATGTGTACCATTAATGTTTTAATAAATTTAGATGGATCTTTATATTAGTGTTTACTTATATAGTTATGCTTACTTACTTAACACCATTTTGTGAACTTGATTAAGGTTATGGCCATGTTGCACCAGCAACTCAATGGGGTCGCCTCGTTTGCATGTTCTACTGCATTCTGGGTATTCCTCTAATTCTTATCTACCTTGGCAGCATTGGCCAAATGTTGGCCTACTTATTCCGCTTTATCTACGTGAACATCTGTTGTTGTCGATGTTTTCGTGACATCAAAATCCGACGCCGAAATAAACGCCAACTACTACTTAGGCGTCTCCAAGAGGATCTGCGACGTCATATGGAAATGAAGGCGAGATTAAATGGTGAACCGTTGCCACCTCCCAAGGTCAGCTGTTTTATACCTGTTTTTTTTCGAGATGATAATATCATTCATTCTACCTATGGACAGATTTTTATCAAGGGAATTATCTTTACTAAGTATTGGTTAATGTGAGTAACTACAACGTCAGTGACTTATATCCATTGGCCCATGTTCATTGTTACTGGTGACCAATCACAGTGGTTAATTCCGATCACTTCAGTGAAATCGGGTTCCTCGACAAAGTTCACATTGAAATATACTTTCTCAACCCACTTAAGTGATGTCCCCCCCCCCCATAAAGATGTGACGTCAAATGTTGAGACAGAAATTTATTTATTTATTTCAAATGGCAGGCTTTATGATA